TGAGCCCACATTTTTTCATTATCGAAAAAAATGATGCAGCCAAAAACATACTCAAACAAATGGCGAGCCCAAGTTCATGCGGTGAATGTATATATTTGTCACCCACGAATAATGTCAATCCTTCGATAAACATTAAAATAAATCATTGGAACTTAATGACCTCCTGCTTGCGATTTATCCTAGTCGACGCCATGTGGCTGGCGCCTTCAAGACCGTGTAGTGAAGAATAGCTCACAAGCTCTCTTTGTCTGAGACGAACCACAGCCTCCCTCACAACCGAGGGCTGTTCGCTGGGATACTTTGGTCATGTTTGTTTCGACGCGCCTTCGAGTGTTTACTAAACGCAGAGAGCAAACAAACTTAGCTGAAATTTGTCTTGCTTAAATTCAGTTACGAGCTTTCAGGACTCATTCTAAAGACCAATGGTCACAGTGTCTCGAGTAGCTTCATTGAGTCTATTGGTTAAATCGACTAGCATCTCGAACCCAGGGGCCAGTTATTCTAGCGAGTGAAGCCGATAAAAAAATAGGATTATGAATATATTTAAAAATCTTCGCGGAGTTTTTTTTTAACATTTAAGGTATCATCCATAATATTATCGTAGATCGTCAATTAAAAACTTCACCGAGTTTTTGAAAACATTTAAGGTATCAATCGTATCATCCATAATATTATTGTAGATCGTCAATTCGTGCACCACGCTGTAATGACTCAAGATTATCAGAGGAAAACTTTTTTCTTTCTCACCAAAACTACAAATTATTTACATACTAATCGACCAATTTCAAACTAAGCAAGCATAACAGATGGTATGCTCAGTATCTTAATAAATCCATGAATTTTTCGATGAACTGTTCCTGACTTAACACACAAGTTTCACGGCGATCTCAAGTTTCATGAAAATCAAACGTATGCAAAAAAAATATCTAAAAACGACACACAAACATTTAAGACCCTCATCTCATCGGTGTTACTTGTCTTGCCAAAGACAACGCGTGAATGCTAATTATATAATATAATAGCGGTTTCAACGTTAATTAGGCCGTAGGCCTGTCGCCGATTTTTAACACCACAGAACATTAACAGCTTAATGTGGTCTCGAACGCACAACTCACTGCTCAACTTCTGCTGTGCTTTGGCCGCCCGGCCTCCTTGCCGATTCTGAATTGCCGAATTAACAGTAATGTTTTCATGACGCAAATATGAGTGTGAAATGAGCGTTCATGCGTCATCACAATCCACAAACTCCCACACTCGGGCGTCGGGTGTCACGGACGCTGTTGGGCGAGCGAGGGGCCGAATTTAGTTAGTTTAGTGGCCAAATGTTTACTATAGCGCTTCAGCTATTTAGCTATCTCGCACCGAAAGTCAAGATGAACATCAAAATAGAGGTGGAAGGTCTCAATTATTCATCACCCACAAGGGGCGGAAGGTCTCAATTGTCCAGCCCGCTGAAGCTGGCTCGAAGGAAGCAGCGTTAGCATCTCAAAGAGACGAAGTGACAAGGAGGGACAGGTACTCATACATCCCTGCAACATACACAGTTTACACACACACATATTACTGCCACGCACACTCTAGAATCCCGGTTGGAAATTCCAGAGCTCCAGCGAAGTACAGATTTTATTAGCACATTCTGAGAAACGGGGGAAATTTAGAGCATAATTCGAATTGAACACGTCGCCTCCAATCCTCGAGAAAGTATATTAATGGATTGATATTTCAATTTGCTCCTAATAAATTAGGTAAGATCTTTTATGAATTAATTAAGACGGTTGAGTGTTAGGCATATCGTCCGTTCGTATTAGGCTGGCATATTATTCCAATAATATGGAATATGACGGTTGTTTGGACAGAACTGACAGTGGACGTTAAAATTTAACTATATCCCTCCTAATTCAGCTAAAATCTAAATAATGTTTTTTGTAATGAAATGAATTAGAATGTCGGAAGTATTGTACAAATAACACTGATCATAAAATAACGTTCAGCTACTTTTACACTTAACAAGAAATCGTTGGAAATTTAACTTAAATTAACAGTTCGAGAATTCTTACGTCGAAAATCTTCAAGTCAATGGGATCACAAGCTTAACCAGAGACAGCATAGAAAGACAACAGAAGATATAGGAAAGACGTTACTAATAGGAGAGACATTATTGTTGTCAGATACAATGACTGGGCATTTTTTTGTAATGCCGTATGCAAAGAGTAATTTCGTAACTGTAGGGAGCTGCGTGTTAACAGTATAGGATAAAAGTGTTACATTCATGTTAAAAGCAAAATAGTGCATCAGCGCCTGATTAAATAATTGAAAATTCGAACGTAAGTACTAAAATTTTATCGACTTCCCTTAGGAATAATTGTGACCTCTGGTTTTGCAGTTGGAATTGCTATACTATCACATAAGACCGTCCTTATGCAGACCGGTCACATGAACGTCTTGAATCATATAATATAATAATAGCGGTTTCAGCGTTTATTAGGCCGTAAGCCTGTCGCCGATTCTTAACCTTCGCAGAACATTCACAGCTTGTTGCGGTCTCGAACTCGCAACTCACTGCTACAATTGTGCTGTGCTTAACCGCCCGGCCTCCTTGCCGGTTCTGACCAGAAACTGGCGCACAGAGCTGGGATCGAACCCGCGCCTCTCTGCGCCAATCTTGGTACTCTGAACTGTAACCACTGGGCCACCCTGCATCGTTACGGACGTAGAGTTACGAATGTATGTAATCATGGACGTAGAGTTACGAATGTATTGTGAAGGAAAAGCTTAATGTTAATAAGTAATGTAGTGTTCCGGCCGTTTCCTTACACGCGCTTCTGAACGAAACATAGACCGCTTAAAAAATATGATATTTTTGATCAACACGAAACACCTAAGTGGAAATTGGACGGTAAACTCCATTAAACAAAATTATTTTGAATGTTGTTGCACCAAGCAGGTAATGGTGACGAAAAAGAAACTTAATGTGAATACAAACATGGAAAGAAGGAATTGAAAAGATTGAGAATCTCAACTTCGATAAAAAAAACATTTAGGATTAAGACAGGAATACATAGTAATCGTTAACATTTGTTAATAAATTAAAGAAAACACATAGCAACTTATTTTAATCGTTAATAGGATATAAAATGTACAGTTTGAATGACTTAGATACATATAAAATAATAAAAAAAATCGTTTCATGGGACTCTTTCCAACCCTCGTTTTTGCAACGTAAGAATCGTACCGAGCGTAGGTACAGTTAAAGCAAAGGACAAAGGACGAGTCATTCAATGCAGTGGCATTTCGATTGTAGCTGCAACTAGAAATAATTTAGGAATGGCCGTAACGAGACACAAACCCAAACTCACACAAAAGCCAGTTGCCATGGGCAATAACAAAGGACAAAGGACGAGTCATTCAATGCAGTGGCATTTCGATTCTAGCTGCAACTGGAACAAATTTAGGAATGACCGTAACGACACAAACCCAAACTCGCACAAAAGCCAGTTGCCATGGGCAGTAACAAAGGACAAAGGACGAGTCCTTCAATGCAGTGGCATTTCGATTCTAGCTGCAACTGGAACAAATTTAGGAATGACCGTAACGACACAAACCCAAACTCACACAAAAGCCAGTTGCCATGGGCAGTAACAAAGGACAAAGAGCGAGTCATTCAATGCAGTGGCATTTCGATTCTAGCTGCAACTGGAAAGAATTTAGGAATGACCGTAACGAGACACAAACCCAAACTCACACAAAAGCCAGTTGCCATGGACAATAACAAAGGACAAAGAACGAGTCATTCAATGCAGTGGTATTTCGATTCTAGCTGCAACTGGAAAGAATTTAGGAATGACAGAAACGAGACACAAACCCAAACTCACATAAGAGTCACTTGGGCAATACGCATGCGAAGCTAATACAAAAGAATTTTATNAACGAGACACAAACCCAAACTCACATAAGAGACACTTGGGCAATACGCATGCGAAGCTAATACATAAGAATTTTATTCTAAGCGAAGGACCTACATTTTCTCAATATAGTATCAGCAGCACAGATATCACAAAAAGAATTTGTTACAGAGCTGCCGTTGTTAGAAGAAGTGGCATTGTGTTACTATAATTTTATTTCAAGAACCCGTTCTACGCGCTGCCATTCTTCAGAAATAGCTGCTCTGCGCTACAGCAGTTGAAAACCTTAGTCTAGCTAAACAACTTTTGAAAAAATGAGATATTGTAAAAAAATACAAGTAAACATAGTGACGTTGACAGTTGCCGATTGATGTTGTTCATTAGGATCATAGTAAAAAATATTGCTTTAATTTCAGAAGATCGCTTGAATAACTTCTGAAAAAACTGAGATTTTATATAAAAATACAATTAAACATAGTGACGTTAACAGTTGCCGATTGATGTTCATTAGGATCATAGTAAAAAATATTGCTTTAATTTCAGAAGATCGCTTGAGAAAACGATGGCCAATAATCCACAAAATGAAAAAACTTTATAGAACAATACCATGGGGCGTTCACGATTGTACAATGCGACCTTCCTCCACCATAGCAAGTTAATCAGAACGCCTTGGTAACAATTTCATACGTTAACTCCGGGCTGTAGGTAAATTAGAATAATCCCACAGGATTACAGAGAGTAATGCATTTTAAGGTAGATTTACTCGACAACGTTACCCTGTTCGACGCAGTGCTTGGGCCTTACTGAGCCAGACAAACAGACAGTCTCGAAAGTAATTCATATTTTCACATGATGGAAAGTGCTTCCCGTTTGAAATTGTTCTATTTGATTGTATGACATGTGTAGAAAGTAATACATCTAAGAATTTGAATGTCGCTGACGGAATGATAGAACTTGAAGAAGTTACAATATCCACGTACAAGCCTGACTTTAATTCAAACATACTATATGTTTGAAGCATCACATCGTATATCCCGATTACAAGGCTTCATTATACTTACAAAATAAGCCAGATTTAGCACCAACATTTCTAATAAAAAGAATGGCCCATCATACAAATTACAGATGAATACTACACAAAATTGATAAAACGACAATTTTCGTACGATGTCCTGGAATTTACGTAAATAAGTACCAAAAGTTGGGACATCAAATCAGCTAATATTATTAAAGGATATTGATAATCCGTGGAACTATTCTAAATTATAAACATTTCAATATAAATAAAAATGGAAAAATAAGTTGATAAGGCGCAGCTGCTCTCTATTTAGACATTTTGCAACCCCGTCATGCATCGCACAAATATAACTATATTACTCTTGAATAACTGATATATATTAACAAAACTAATTTTACTCATATAAATAACCAGTTCGGAATAAAAGTAATTGGAGTCTGATAGCGTAGAAACTTAGATGTTTATCAACCAATACAAGAATGTTTTTAAATTAAAGTGAATAACTGATATATATTAACAAAATTAATTTTACTCATATAAATAACCAGTTCGGAATAAAAGTAATTGGAGTCTGATAGCGTAGAAACTTAGATAATGTTTATCAACCAAAACCAAGATTGTTTTTAAATTAAACATAAAAATGTAATGAAGTAGCACGACTCGCAGCAAGATTCCTGAATGAAAATAAATCTTGATCCTATGAATAAATGTCTACATAGCCTACAATCGATTCTTGAAAACATGAAGAAACGTTGGTGTCGAAGACACTTTGGCTGAGGATAGTCAGTGTTTTGAACAGAGACTTGAAGTGTTCGTAGAACTTCAAATATTGTGGTTTGATTTAAATTAGTAAAGCCTGTAAATAAATTGCTGTCGCTCAAAGCTCCTGAAACGTCCAGCTGTTGACCAAACAAATACCAGGCAGACATTGATGAAGATTAAGAGTCAAAATTCAACATGGAAAGGCGGCAATTAAAAAACTTGAGTAATAATTAGTCAACTTCGTCAGAACAAGCCTTGAGCCAAGCAGTTAATCACAGCCCATTTAGTATACAGCTGCTGTAGAAGCGTTATATTCTTCAGTTATGAAAAGAAAATACGTACGCATTTAAACACTGACACATCTAAACTGGTGTTCTGTACTCAAAAGAACAAGTTCCAGCCATCCTGAAGATGGGACGAAAATTAAAATAATGGCAAGACCAGTTAAGATTTAATTTCAGTATGAAATTGATAATGAGACCAATATCTACTGATGTCAATGCCGAATGATTTTAAGGCTGCATGGAAGGCTGCGACAAGACATCAGCCTACACAGAGTCTACGCAGTAGCCTCATTTTAAGACTGCATGGAAGGCTGCGACAAGACATCAGCCTACACAGAGTCTATGCAGTAGCCTCATTTTAAGGCTGCATGGAAAGGCTGCGACAGGACATCAGCCTACACGGAGTCTACACAGTAGCCTCATGTTAAGGCTGCATGGAAGGCTGCGACAGGACATCAGCCTACGCGGAGTCTATGCAGTAGCCTCATTTTAAGGCTGCATGGAAGGCTGCAACAGGACATCAGCCTACACGGAGTCTACGCAGTAGCCTCATTTTAAGGCTGCATGGAAGGCTGCGACAGGACATCAGCCTACACGGAGTCTATGAAGTAGTCGCAAGGATTCGCCATAGCGCGACTGAAGCTCGCCAAAGAAGAGCTCATGCCTGTTTTGAACATAAAAATAATCATCCAAATGGTAAAAATAAAAAAATAATAAAAAAAAATATATCAGCATTGAGAGCAATTAAAAATATGCATAAATGGTAAAAAAATTAGTCAAATTAGTTTCTTCAATTCATTCTCATGAACTACACATTAGGAATTATGAAAGTTACATCATGGGAGTGCCGAATTATGTTAATAGAAATGGGTAGTAATGTGATCAAGATTACTTGCAAAAAACTATATAATATAGAACAGGAATGACGTTAGAAATAAAGAAAATACAAGAACAGACTCGTACATGGTGGATGCGATGAGAACTACACAGGGAGTCTAGGCTGTATTTCGATAGCGCGAGAGCGATTTGTAAGCAATTAAATGGTGGGCATTAAATTGAAGTTTATAAATAATGCCTGAAAATAAGACCAAAAATTTTACTGAGAGAAAAATCAACGAACGAAATGCATGACACGAAAATTGAAATGAAAAGACAGAAAAATAAGAATCACAAACAGAAGGATGAAGAATATTTTGGGAAAGCATGTCCAAATAATGCACAGTAACCACCACAATCCCCAACCCCTGGATCAACATCTTTGAACAAATCAGACAAGAGAACAACACCAATCAGCCGGAAAAAGGTCATGACTAAATGAGAATGTGCAAGCGTTTTTTTTTCCCACAAATCGTAAAATCGTAACAGACAGAATTGTTGATAGAACACCAGCAATGTGACTAGGAACTTTGTAGCTCTTTTCTGAGAAACGCCGTACAATCAGAAATAAAATTTAGGAATCAAAATACATTTTCTTGAGTAACGGAGAATATAGTTAAAGTTAATCAATTAACAAATCAGGCCATATGAACCTACAACAACACAGGCAAATAACACTTCAGGTATAAAATTTGGGCTAGTCAGTTTAAATTAAAATTTTCTACCGCTGAATGAAAGAAAAACTGTCCCATATCAACGAGGATAAACCCACTGAAGGCCACATAGACTGAAGCAACCCGAGGAGGTCAGGAGACACAAATAAAAAGAGGCAAAAATGAAGCGTCACAAGTTCCACTAGGGAAAAAAATAGAGGAGCTACAGACCCGAGGTGGGGGGGAAGACCGCCCCCTGAGAGCGCTCTGACCCACTAGAACCCCCACCGCCCCCTCCCCCACCACTGCTCGCACAGCTCCCATTGCTGGGGGGCACAAGAGGGGAAGACGAAGATGTGTTCGTTATGGGGGGATGTCCAGGCATGCTGGTGGGGATGGGTGGCAGGGGTTGGTGAGGGAGAGGGGGAGGAGGACGAGACTGGAAGTGTTGCTGGTGGTGAGGGTGATGGTGGTGGTGATGCATCATCATGGGCTGTTGAAGGGCAGAGGGCAGAGGGGGAGCCATGACAGGAGGGGGTAGTGTAGGGGGGAGACTGCCTGTGCTCTGAGGGGGACTGCGGTGCTGGATTGCCTTCTTGGCAGTGCCGCTGCTCGAGCCACCTGTAAAATATTCTTTATATTAATTTAAAATTCAGTGTGGGGCTGCAGTAATGAAGGAATGAATAGAAATGTTGATACCAAAATCAGCAAGAAAATTTAAGCTCAAAGAATCTGCTTTGATTTCTGTCGATTACTAAAACTAAATCTCACCTAAAATCTAAGAAAAAACCTTACCTTCTTTGATGAAGATAATGAATATTTTTCTAAAAACAAGAAGCATTAAATATTCCTTAGATATAAGCACGAGCTAATCAATCAGAAATAAGTAATGATAGTAAACATGACACGATGATAGAGATGCTTGTGATGATACCGCACCTGAGCCACTGTCGCGGTTGAACATGTAGGACTCGTTGGTATAGTTGAAGTTGGGCGGTTGAGGTTGCATGTAACCTCCCACCGCCACCGTCGAGGCGCCTGACGTGAAGTTGCTGCCTTGTAAGGACACGTGGGGGGCGGCGCCCCCTATGTTGCTCCCCCAAGGGGAGGCTGTGGAGGGCGGAGGCAACGGACCCAGATCACTGATGGAGTCTTCCTCCCCAACCAGCTTCAGCGCCGCCATGCCTGCCCACAAAATTATCTTACTTTTATGGGGAAGAAAATAACACAACTCGAAACAATCCACCAATTGCAATAGTCCATGAATAAACAAAAAATCAAAGAAATTCAAGTGAAAACGGAGCTTGATAGCGATACAATGAACCACACGATCAACCAAGAATCATGTAAGATGAAGAAACCAATAACTTGAAATGGTTTGACGTGAAGCGAGTGGAGACTACAGAGAAAGCACCAAATAGTAGCACTGCTCACTAAAGTCCCGCTTGTTGACCGTGTGCTTGATAAGTCCGCTCTTGAGGAGCTGAGCGGCATATTTGCGCGCCTCCTTGCGGTCTGTGAAGCCTTCGACTCTCTGATGCAGCCAGTCCACCACTTCGTTACCTGGGCGTGGGTTAGTTGCTTCATTCATTCCATATGTCCAAATACATTAGTATGATAAAACCCATTTACCTAGCTACTGTGCACTTATTATTCTTTCCTCAGCAACGTAAGAATTTATGTGATGATAAAGCATTCCAAAAATGAACATTTTTATAGGAGCAGGAACCCACCAGTGACAACAAAATAGGATTGTCGGAACAATAAACTTCCGAGACAGTAAAGTGACAGATAACCATCACTTTATTGTTAGCATATAGCTTAGTCACCCATCATGCAGAAAGCATGATGGGTGACTAACGCTACACAGACAACTAACACCAAAGAGCGTAGCTTAAGGCTCCAATGACCTCGGTTTTAATGACACTAATACAACTAAAACAAAGTCAATGCAAGTAATATTTGTCACCAAATCAGCCTGTAAGCGCATAAGAGGTAGTTTATTAGACACACCAATAAAGGCGTTAGGAATTGTGATCTTGAGCCAAAGTCTGTCCCTGATCTCGAGGCCTGAGTCGGGCGCAGCCATCGCGCGCACCACGGCCGTCATGGGCGACGTCACTGAGAGCTTCATCTCCTCGTAGGGACCTGCACAAGCGCCGGTCAACAATTATTTATAACATTAATTTATATTGAAATGAATGAACTTTAATTAATAACCTGGCGTAGATCATCAAATGACAATAATTAGTTACTATACGATTAGCTAATACTCTCGATGAAAAAAAAAACCATTGTCAAAGCTCCCATCAGAAAATGCAACTTCAGAATTCAAAGGTGAGCTTGTTATATCTCAAATAAAATCAAGTTTTAAAGAAAGTCAACATCAACAAGACATGTATTTCATGATTAAAATGGGAAGATAAAATCAAAACTTTGACTCATGCTGTTGCAGTGAAAGTGATGTTAAAAACTCACGCTCAGCGTCAATCACGGAGGAGGCAAGGGAGGACGTGTTCGAGGTGAGGGTCGAGGCTGAGGGCGGCCGCACGGGATATTCCTCAACTAAAAAAAAAAGGAAACATTATTCTCCTTATTGATTTATACGATCAAAGGTCAAGTGTTTATATACAAATCAAAAGTCGCATTCAACTGCTTGATTCATGTTTGAATGACTTCGTCCACCGTCAGGAATTATCTCAAAATTGTATCTTCTAGTATTTAACTTTATACTGAATTAACAAACTCTTATGAAACCACTCACTTCTAATAATAAACTGTTGCAAAATTTTACCCCAAAGGCACCTATAATAGTAACAGAAAATATTTTTCTAAAAAAAGGGGAAAGCCTGGGAATTATTGGTTTCACTAGAAAACCACAATATCCCATCTTGTTTATACGCTGCTCCAGTGATTAGACGCTTGCATTCAATACAAAACTACATATCTGATCGATTGTCTGACTTTCAGCACGAGTGAACTACCTAAACAAATTCCTAGAACTGACTGCAGCAAAAAGACTCCGCCAGACCGCGAGAACAAGAGACTAACCGCTGCTCGTTATATGCTAGCGGTGAGCAGTAAGCCACCATACCCTGACTAGAGGAGCCCTAATCAGTTGCACGCTACCCACCCAAACGTTGTGCTTTACGCCACTTTACCCTCACCAGTTACCCTCCTCAGCAATAAGCCTGCTTACCCTCACCAGTTAGGCAGGCCTGAGTGTGTGCAATCCAAGCCCCGGGGTCAATGGGATGCACAGGCTCAGCCCTGGGCACTGTGAAGTAGCCCTTAGGAGGATGAGGATCCCAGCACTTTGCCACCACCAGCTTAATGGGCCTGGAACGATGAGCATATTTTGCTACTTGTACAGATGATGTGTACTGATAAACAATCAGTGTAATTACAGCAGCAACAAATATAAAATTTAAGGGTAATCCATTTTCAAGGTTATGGCTCAATATTAACTTGAAAAAACCTTCTGCTGTTGTTAGAATGTTTAAGACAAATCTTAGGTAAACTTGTCTAACGATTTCCACACGTATTATAGTTCAATCTTATGAACTCCACAGAGAAGCTGTAATATAAAGAACCTGTAACTTGATGCATGAAGAAAGGGGCCATAAATTTGCTAGGCTTTTAAAAGAAACTAAAACTTTATTTATAAATAAAAGTATTCATACAAATTACAATTGAATGCAAACCCCTACCCTTTCATTACATTGAATGCAAACCTCTACCCTTTCATTACAATTAATGCAAACCCCTACCCTTTCATTACATTGAATGCAAACCCCTACCCTTTCATTACATTGAATGCAAACCCACTTCCACGTAATGAAAGTCCCTACACAGAAAGATTAATACGAGCCTGACCCTGGCTTCTGAACTACGTCCCTGAGGACGCGGACGGCGCCATCGTTGCTCATGTTCTCGAAGTTGATGTCGTTCACTTGCAGGATCATGTCGCCAGGCTCGATGCGGCCGTCCAGTGCCACGGCACCACTGCAAATTACTCAGTTATTTCATTGGGCACTTTATTGAACGTGATAACACATATGATAATAAGAGACGAGTTTGTGGCCGTCCAGTGCCACGACACCACTGCAAATTACTCATTTATTTCATTGGGCACTTTATTGAACGTGATAACACATATGATAATATGAAACGAATTTGTGGATGTCCAGAGCCACGGCACCACTGTAAATCACTCATTTATTTCATTGGGCACTTTATTGAATGTGATAACACATATGATAATAAGATACGAGTTTGTACAAGAATGGTGAAACACTTTTACGCGATCAGGTATAATGAGATACGGTATCCCGGCAACTAACTTTTGTTCTCACTGATTTTTGCTGTCAACTATAAATAATGCGAGGGCAAATTGATAATAAGAAACGAATTTTGTACAGGAATGGTGAAACAATTTTATGCAATCCGATATGACAAAGAAACACAAAATATATTGATAAATGAGCAGCAGCAAAACATCCAAGCGGCGCATCAGCGTGAGAAGGCGGCGCATCAGCGTGACCGTGGACTACGACGTCCTAAACTTATCCTAAGGTTCATAAGTGAACAATTACCACTCACGAGTTTCTCTCACCCTTTCATAATAGAGCCAACATAAATCCCTCCATCGCCGCCTTTGCTCGACTGTCCTACAATGGAGATGCCCAGGAAATTGACAGAGTCCATGTTGAGGGTGACAGTGATGATGTTAAGGGACATGGTGCTGTCGGTGATGGAGGATATGCTTGAGGCATGGGACATTGCCTGGTGGTGATGAGGGTGGTGAGGGTGGCGGTGGCTGCCTCCAGGACCTGCCTGGTGATGCCGTCGCTTCTTGCGCCTGTTGCGGGCGTGGATCTGTGATACACTAGAGCTGCCTGTGGGTGCGAAAACATTTCAATTTCACTGTAAAAAGTATTAACAACACTTTTAATGGGAATTAATAATATGGGAGATTGTTATACTTTGTATTTTAACACGTTTTTCTTAGCTTAGCTTCGCGTTTGTTTGTTTGTTTGTTTGTTTGTTGTTAACATTGACAACGAAAATTAGCCCACTTCTGATTACTCTACAGATCTCAAATTCGGCATGTAGGCTATTTTCGCCTAACAATTTCAGATACAATCATAAAAACTAGCAATTAGAGACCTAAATTAGCTTAATTGAGTAAAGTATATATATACTATATATATAGTATGACGTGCGGGCGCTGATGTTNTGGACGACGACTCATAGCCTCCTCGAGCTCCTGGGCCACCGTGGCCATTAACACGCATTCCTGCATAGACAAAATAGCTTTATAGCACCGGCATTACTGCAGACTTCTACAAAAATATTAATGAAATTAAAGGATTTCACTGCAAGGTTAGAGTTTAGCTTTCGTGGCCGTTAACACGCATTCCTGCATAGACAAAATAGCTTTATAGCACCGGCATTACTGCAGACTTCTACAAAAATATTAATGAAATTAAAGGATTTCACTGCAAGGTTAGAGTTTAGCTTTCGTGGCCGTTAACACGCATTCCTGCATAGACAAAATAGCTTTATAGCACCGGCATTACTGCAAACTCATACAGAAATATGAATGAAATTAAAGGATTTCACTGCAAGGTTAGAGTTTAGCTTTGAATACTAACATTGATTAATGCATAGGCATAGATATACATAAATAACAGTTTTTGATTTCATTTATATACAGAAGTTTAAATTTATCTTCATAGAGGGTGAGTCAGAGAAACTTATTTTTCTGTGGATTTGCTTCTGCGTTCATTACATGACTGTTGTTGTAATTAGTGACAACAAAAATATTAAAACACACCCTCTTGTAAGCATCCTCTTCTGGCTCCCTAATTTTACCTCCAGCTGTAAAGCAAAGTTTGTAAACAAGTATGTTTCTCTGACAAACCCTATACACCAAGTCCCCAAGATACTAAAGTCCAAGTTGCAAACCTTAATACCTACGAACAAAGCTGTCCACGACTGCTAAGTCTGTCCAAAAGTAAAAAAATATATAACTCAGTACTCACTGCAGTGAGTGACAGAAAGCGCATTTTCTCATCAATGAAAACTTGAGGTCACGGACGGACGGACAGACAGACGGACATGGCGAGCACAATAGTGCATTTTTTCCATAAATGAGAAAATGCGCTAAAAAGTAAAAAAAAAATAGTTTACAAGCACGAAAGTAGTTGTACTATATTACATATCGCTTTTACCAGTCTGTTGTACATTATAGCTCAGAGCATAACGTATGCCCCAATTTAGACATACCAACAAATGCACATACAAGACACCTCTAGGAGCGGAACCGGTTCATTACCTGGGGACTTGATGTGCTTACAGAAATATTTAACAACAAAATTTGATTGCAAGAAAATGTTAGTAAAAAATTGAGTAAAAAAATATCGATTGGCATGATATATGCATCAAGTGAACAAATGAGTGAATTTTAAAATACTTGTACACAACAATTATGAATGTGCATCATGGGATAGAAATGCATGCAAAACTCACTGTCGGGAAAAGGTCGTTGTTGGGATTTATTATCAAATTTTGGGAGACGAGGTGGTCGAAGATGGCCATGATCTGAAAAATAGAACCGCTTTAATCTGACAACAGAAAAAATGATTCACAGAAAAAATAAAAGAATTATAATAAAATGGCCATATTAGTCATCATGACCAATTAATTTATGGCATTGATGAACAAATTCTCTTAGTTCTAGATGAATGACAATGTTCTAAAAGAATTCTTGAAGTCAATTAAAAAATATCGCACAAACTAATATATGAACAGCCTCTTTGTTGTTTGATTAGTACTCTGATACAGATGTACAAAAGTGTAAGCAAATAAAATCATGATTCAAGCCTTCAAGGGTAATCATCAGATTCCATCCTCAGTAAAAAAAAATGTAAAATTAGGATTTTTTTCTGGGAAGAATTTGTTTCACAAATCACAATCTATGTTATTTTTTCACTGTTTTAAGTATTTAAGTATATTGTATTTAATGGTTTTAAGTATTTAATGGTATGGTTTAAGTATTTAACCTGCTTATTAGAAGAAAGAGTTAACACAGAAAATCTCTTTTTTTTACAGGTTGAAATAGAGAGACAAACTATTTACCTGCACTAAATAAGATGGTTTACATTAACTGCTGAGAGCAGCCCTGCAATAACTAGTTATGGGATCTTCAATAATTATTGCCTGAGATGGTGTACCTAAGTACAAAATACTAGTAAGAAAATTAGGTACTATAGAAACTGCTGAAACTTGAGACAAAAATATCCCTTACCTCTTCTGCTGGAGATGATGCTCTCAGTCTCAGTACAGGTGGTGTCATCGAGGCCTCCTCCACCAGCACCGCTCTCACCTCCACTGCTTCTGTCATGTCAAATTAAAAACAATGAACTCTTAGGGAATATATCAGTACAGCAATAATGTCTCTTATGGATCAATTTCTCATCTCCTAAAACCTTATAATGTTATGATGAGAACTGTGACATACTCTAATAAACAAAGGAGCCAGTCTCATACATGCTTCCTAAGCTATGATGTAAACTAGCACCCACTGGTAGGCCTGATGTTTGGGAGCGCCATCTTCTCCGCACTGTGACAAGCTGTCGGCCACACTTGTGTCAGCAGAAACAATCTGCAAATATCAGTGCAAATATTGTTACAGCAACAAACATGATAATATAATAAAAATCCATTCCTTTAGGAGTGATTAAAAAACAACCTGAATTTCTGTGCAAAGCAGCTCCTTGTGCCATGATTTGCATCAGAGCCTACATAGTTATGCATCTGCCAGTCTTCAATTCTCTTCCTGTTCCACAATAGATATTTCATTACACAGACATCAAGCATCAAATATGTACTAGTAGCAACTAAGGACATAATTTACCTACATATATTCATCACACAAAAAGACTAAGCTCAGTGATAAATTCCAATAAGTACTAATTTTGCCATTCTCTACAAAAACCACACATGAAGGTATGTCAATAAATAGCTTTCTCCAAAAATCTACGCATTTTTAACTCTACTTGTTGTCTCGAGACCTGATAGGTTTCTCTATGAACTCACTTGTAGTTCAATTAACTCAGACTTGTGAAAGAAAAATTAGATTTAAATGTATTAGCCTTACCCAAGATACAACTCGTTGATTCACAGCAGGAAGAGGAGCATCGTCATCAACAATTTCTTCCTTCACCACTCTGCAAAGAGATAATAAGATGAGTCAACCAGTAAAATATTTAAATTACATATGGTATATAACTTAGCATAGCAATACCTACCAACAACAATACAATGAGTTAACCAGTAAAATATTTAAATTACATATGGTATATAACTTAGCCTAGCAATACCTACCAACAACAATACAATGAGTCAACCAGTAAAATATTTAAATTACATACGGTATTTAACTTAGCCTAGCAATACCAACAGTTTTGAATTGAGTCTAGATGATAGTAAAAGAAATGAATGTAATTTCTTCCTTCACCACTCTGCAAAGAGACAATAAGATGTAAACCAGTAAAATATTTAAATTACATATGATATTTAACTTAGCCTAGCAATACCTACCAACAGTTTTGAATTGAGTCTTTATGATAGTAAAAGAAATGAATGTAAAAGCAATCAAAGAGTCAACAAGTTTGGAAGCAAATTTTCTCCCTTTTATTCAGCAAAGTAGCAAGTAAGAAAACCTGGCTAAGATCTAAGGGAACATTATTTTACTTTGAATCTTTGCCATCCCAGGTATAAACTAGTTTTGGGAACAAGATTGTTAAGCAGACAGAGTAAATAGTATACAGTATTAGAATACCTCCATAACAGACTATGTTAAGACGCCTTTTATTGCATTGCTTTCAGAATCACAATGGTTAGGTTTTAGAATAAAAAGGTTTTTAATGATATTTCTTCATCAATGAAAATTATGTACCTAAAAGAACAACTACATGGATAAGTTTATTAGTTATTATAAATAAATATATAATTTTGGTTCTATTACATTGATATAAGAAGGTATTAAATGGTACTAATGATGGGTTTAGATACAAAACATTGTGTGTTGTTTCATTGCAGGGCCTACAATCAAACTTTTGCTAGAAAGGTAGATTACCCAGACCCTGCTAAAGGTTGAAAAGGCCTAAAAATTTGTGGAGCACGCAATAAATAAATTCTTTAAAAATAAACCACTGTTGAAGTTTGAGAACAACCTTTAGTCTAGCTACTGTTTCAATATTGGGATACAATAAAAATATGTATTATAGAAAATGAAGCTAAATGTAAATTTCTAAGTTTAAATCTCTTCATGCTAATCATTAATTCCCAAATTCATTGCCATTTCACAGCAGTATTTTACTACATGGCCCTTTTGCGTCTGCAAGGCAGGAAATGCAGATTTCTAATCCCTAATATGGCTAATCAGTAGTGTTCAAGGCTGCCAAGTGAATTGACAATTGCCTAACATTCTCTGTGTTCAGAACTTTGCCAGATGTTACAAAGGACCCGCGTGAAATAATTTGTGGTCCCTTTAACAAATTATCACATGTTCAGTTGCAACTTAAGTGAAGACCAATGTTAGTGTTGCTGTTTGACAGTTTTAGGGTAAAATTAGAGATGTGGGGCCCAAGTGGAAATTTCACTTCTCGGACAGACATACCAAATTTTTGTATGTGTGCGGAGATACCCTACGGCAGGTAAGTGCAGACTTGGGAGGAATATCTATATTCAACCATGGAATTGGGTAATTCTCTTGAAATATAATTTGTCAGTTTTGAACTAAAAAAGTTGTTGCACAATGATGCAAGGGAGCAAGGCCCACACAGGTTTTGTAGGGAGTTCACAACCTTCATTGCGCAGAGATTGTACAGGGGTAACTGGTTTCAATTTCTTCTAAAATTTGGATGGCAACACTTTTATGTAATAGATTACACATTCATATAAGATGCAAAGAAAAATAAGGACTGGCAATATTATTTAGCATTTTATTGATCCTTTTATGATTTGTTTAAATTTGTACAGTAAAATGAAATAATGCTAACCTAATATATGTAAGTCATAGAATAGAATAGAAGTGTAGACACTGAAGAAATAGGTCCATGGCCTGTTGCCAATTCTTGTACTTTTTGTGATTTGATTCCACATGAGATCCAGCCTTTTGTAACCAATCTTTCCATAACTGACAATTGAGCGAGATATCTGCAGGACTTGTTGCAAGGCTTGTAAGGTGCTAGGCATTTCAAGACTGAACATATGCTCCTGCATAGCATGTCTCGGACAAATTTACGGCCGGCCCCTCGGACCATCTTCAGTTTTTTCCAATCGTGATGCAAAGTAACACATGCAAGGGATTTTGTAAATAAGTTCATGGCTCATAAATGGCTTTCTATGGCCAAATTATGGAATTCACAAGATTACGGCTCAAAGAAATGGATTCACTGCTGGCAAATCCATCAAACCACGGCTTGAAAATATCAGTCATGGCTTGCTAAGTAGATGTAGGTATTCCATGCCGGTGCTTAATGTGCTTGAATTGATCTCTCTCCAATCTCCATTAACAACAATACACAGCATAGTGGCAAAGCAGAGAGTTTTTTAGACTCACCCTCAAGTTCATTTTTGAGTCCGGTAAGTAGAGTTAGTAGACCAGTGAAGTATCATGGATACCAGCATTATCATATTTAAGAAATTGGTTTAAATCTTGAGTAAGTGAGGAAATTAAAAATGAACTGATTCTAAAAAAGCTCTGGTTTGCCACTATGATACACAGTTCACAGTTCTGCCTGTATTAGGCCTATCTGGGATATTAAGCAGAACTTTCCAAAAATCATAGGTAAAAATGATTGTTTCATCCATAATTTTTCAACATTGTGTGCTAAAATGTAACTTCTTTTTTTAACTAAGGAAATTACTATGCAAATTACAATGGATATAAAAATGGATGAAATCGAGCATGAGCATTTCTCTCATTAGTAGGTAGGCTAGCTTCAACTCAATTTTCCATATAGGTAAAACTATACTGGGAACATTTTGGGTCTAAAAAGAAAAACCTTTTCTTGACAGTTGTCAGTTGACAACACAATTGTCCAAGTTCCAACTCTGAAAAATTGCAGTCTACATAACATAGTCAGTGCTATATTAACACATTAGAAATGATTTAAGAAATAATTGAATTACATAAAATTTATGCATATAACACAGTGGGTATAGTTGACAACAAATTTTAACTCACCCATAGTCGTCAT